TTCATTCTGTTGCACATAGAGTTGGTACGAGTCAGTACCAACTCGATGGCACCTAACAACTACAACTTTGGTGAAATGTTGAATGATGCAGAACGTATCAAAAAGGACCAAAAATTAATGGTTGATGTTCAACCATTTCAAGAGGTAACATTGATCAAGAGTCAATGATACCCAAGAAAGAAATCCAAGGTTCACTGAAGGCATTGCCAAAGAACAAAACTCCGGGAACTGATGGATACAAACTGAAATCTTTCAACAAACTGAGGCAGAACTGGAAGCACTTACTCAACTATGTCATATTTGTGCTTATTCTAAAGAGTGGTGACCCACCAGAATGTGGAAATAATCAGGCAATATTAGTAATAGCATATACAAGTAATTTTTTTCTAAAGATAATTTAAAAAAATGACTGCATTCGTACATTGACAGGGACGTGCCAGAAGTTCAAGCCAGATTCAGATGAGGATGTGGAATGAGGAATATCACTGCTGACATCAGATGGCTCTTAGCTGAAAGCAGAGAATACCAGAGGAATTTTTACCTGTGCTTTATTGACTACACAAAGGCTTTCAATTATGTGGATCATGACAAGCTATGGACAACCTTGAGGAGAATGGGTATTCTAGAACACTTAATGGTGCTCATGAGGAACCTATATATACAGTAAGTGGCAATTGTTTGAACAGAACAAAGGGACACTGAATGTTTTAGAATTAATAAAGGTGTGTGCGTGGGTTGTATTCTTTCACCACATTTATCAATCTGTGTGCTGGCAAATAATTTGAGAAACTGGATTAGATGAAGAAGGATGTGGCATCAGGATTGGAGGAAGTTTCATTAACAACTTGTGATATGTAGATGATACAACCTTGCTTGCTGGAAGTGAAGATTACTTGAAATATCTATTGATGAAAATCAAAGACCACATCCTTCAGTATCGGTTACACCTCAATATAAAGAAAACAAAACTCCTCACCACTGGACCAGTAAATAACATCAGGACACATGGAGAAAAAAAAAATGAAATTCTCAAAGATTTCATTTTGTTCAGATCAACCATCAGCACGGAAGGAAGCAGCAGTCAAGAAATCAAATGATATATTGCATTGGGAAAATTTGCTGCACAAGATCTCTTTAAAGTGTTCAAGAGTAAAGATGTCAGTTTGAGGACTAGGACTAAGGCATGCCTGACTGAAACCATAGTATTTTCAGTAACCTTGTGTGCATCTGAAGGTTGTACAGTGAATAAGGAAGACTAGAAAAATGGATGCATTTGGGTTATGGGGTTAGAGGAGAATGTTAAAAGTACCCTAGATTGCCAAAAGAACAAACAAATCAGTATTGAAAGAAGAATAACCAGAATACTCCTTGGAAGCCAAGATGGCAAGATTTGGTCTTTCATACTTCGGACATATTATCAAAAGCAACCAATCCCTGGGGAAGGACATCAAGTGTAGTAAAGTGGAAGGTCAGCAAAAAAGGGGGAGACCCCTGACAATATGAATTGGCACAGTGGCAGCAGCAATGTTCTCAAGCTTAGCAATGATTTTGAGGTCGGAACAAGAATTGACAGTTTCATTCTGTTGTGCGTAGTATAGCAATGAGTCAGTACAGACTTGACAGCCCTTTATAACAGCAACAGCAAAACTGCGAGAGTATACATTTATGTTTGTTAGAGGCATCCGCTTGTGATATTTCCTCTTTAGCAGTACTAGATTACTAAAACAAGCATGTCCTCCCTGTGTCTTTTGTTTCCACTCCTCCCTGTCTTCCAGCATGTCTCAATTGTGTCACTAGGCAAATACTTTTCTTTTGAACTTCAATTGTTCACCATTGTATGGTTTGTGTACCTCACCAGTGTTTATAGTGATGTAGGATAAGCACTCAACTGCTAGCTGCAAGGTTGTAGTTCAAACCCTACAGTTGGTCCTCAGAGACCCTATAAAGGGTAGCTATAAATTGGACTCTAATTAAAGGCCTTTAACAGCAACAACAATATACCTCTCTGTGGGTTGGTTGTAAACTAAGTCATGGAAGTGAGTTCAAGAGTATCCAAGGGCCCAAGCTTTGAGGTTCCACCAGTCTACATCAGACCAGGAAGCTTAGTCTTCTTTATGATTTTGAGTTTTGTTCTTTATAAATGTATTCTTAAATGTAAATTTATGATAGGTTTTAAGCAACCTTTAGCTACTTTTAATCTCTGCTTAAAATCTCTGAATTGATTAGAGCTACATTTCTCTGAACCTCTTATTTAATGCCAAAATACTTTACTGGGTTAAAAAGAGTCTGTTTTCAGAGATGTGGACTATCAATTATCCTTGAAGGACAATTTTAAAGGAGAAAGATGAGGCTTTCTGCTCCTGCAAAAAGATTTAAACCCTAGAAACTGACTCCAAAGCATTTAACAAAACAGTGCTCTCACCTGTATCTCTGACAAAGCTACAACTTTAACGTCCCTGTAACTTTGATTTTACTAGTTGGGACCTTTTTCAATCCTTATTCCTTTAGTAAAGCTTTCCTATCCTATTTTCTTCAGTGTTGTTACATGACTAAAGATGAAACATTTAAAGACCACAGTGATACAAAGTACTACTACTCAGGCAGAACAATGGTCTTCATTTCTTGAATTCATAGGAGTGAGCATGGATATAGCAGACAAAATAGCACACCAAAGGGAGAAGTTTGGAGTCTGAAAGGTCTTTGAGTACCGAAAGAATCTCTTTGGAAAGTTCTGATTTTAAATAGAACCTATTCGGAATTTGTCAGCCATGAAAAGCTTACTAGATTTAGTTCTTAATCACTAAAGCTTCAATTACTGTGAAAATAGTCTCACTGGACAATCTAAAAGAGTAGAAATGAATGCTTTTCAGAGAGCATGTTTAGCAGCAAAAATTCTATGACCTTATATTTTAAGGGTAGAAAATTTTTACTTCCACTTTTATTAAAGAAAACACAGGAAGCATTTTCTTTCCTGCAATCATCCTTCCTTCCTGTTCTAGTTATGTATAGGACATGCCTGAAACCACTGCACACCATGTGTTCTCAACTTCTGTCAAGAAAGGAATGCTGTTCAAAGTTCATTTGGAATTTGTCTGAGTTTCAGTGCCATGCAGAGCAATTCCAGATAAAGACAGGCTTGTTGTATCCATTACCAGCAGCTTATTTCGTCATTGTTTTTCAGTTGTAGCCTTGTGCCTTGTATGGTGGTGTCTGTTTCTCAGAACAAGCTAAGAAGAGCATTCTATCTGTGTTCTGGGGCTGCTTGAGTACAGAGTCTGTTATTTTTTTAGGATAATGTTTGGCTCATCCAAGGAGCCTATATTCTGTGGCAGTTATGTTTTGTGGATCTGAGAATTATATTGAAGCTGTCAAGGATTTCATTTTACTTGAATCCACAATCAATAGCCTTGGAAACAGGAAGAAAGACAAGATAAAGACAAAGGAAAATCATAAACACAGGGAGGAAGTAGCAAGGGTGTCAATACTTTGTGGGAATTACAATCAATGTATTCATACACAAAACAAAATGTGTAGGAGTTGTTGAATGGAAAGCCAATTTGCTCTGTCAACTTTCACTCAAAACATAATTAAAAAAAAGAGAGTGAGAGAGAGAGAGAAACCGGAAGCCCTAATGCTGGGTTCAGATAACAAAAAACATATTGCATTGGGCAGATATGCTGTAAAAGACCTAGTTAAAGTATTATAAAGCAAAGATGTCACCTTGAAGTCTAAGGTGTGCCTGACACAATCTATGGCATTTTAAACACCTCAAATATGTGCATGCAAAAACTGGACAATGAATTTCTAAGGAAGACCAAGAAGTTTGATGACTGAATTGTGGTGTTGAGAAAGAATACTGAATATACAATGGATTTCTAGAAGAACAAACACATCTTGTTTGAACAGGTTTTCAGGAGGAAACAATTTTCAAGAGAAAGTAGAATATATGATAGAGGGTCAGCAAAACAAAAAAGAGAGGATGATCTTTATAGACATGGATTGATACAGTGAGAGCAACAACAGGATCAAACATAGCAACAATTGTGAGGATGGCACAGGACCAGCCTGTGTTGCATTCTGTTGTACGTAGGGTCGCGATCAGTCAGAGTCAACTCTATGATACCAAATAACCATATGAACAATAAGCATCCATAAGAATGAAGCCTGAGAAATAGAATACAAGTATCAATCAAATGAAGATGTGTTTGTTGATGGTCTTTTGGAACTGTGAATAAAAAAGCATATTAAATTAGCATTATTAAACAGGGGGTCAGATTTTTCTGTCTTGTATTTGCCTGCATTCCTGGGTGAGTAAATGGATAATGTGCTTGGCTACTAACTGAAAAATTGGAGATTGTGGTCTACCCAAAGGGGACTTAGAAGATAGAGCTGGCAATCTATTTCCAAAAAATCAACCAGTAATAGCCCTATGGAGCACAGTTCTACTCTGACACATATGGGGTATTATAAATTGTAATTGACTCAACAGCAATTAGTTTTTATTTACTTTGTTTATTATTTAATTTGCCGATCCAAAGAGTCAACACTGGTTTTATTCAGGAAGTTTTCAAGTTTTCGTCTATCTTTTTATACTCAGGCCTATCAGACTTTGAGGAAACATCCACTTTACTTGTAATTTTCTGAATTTACTTTGATTGCAATCTATTCTGAAATATAATGCAGACATTTCCTAAAAAACTTGATTGCTAATAAAATGTTCTCTGTCAATTTGTAGAATTTAAGAGGAGAAATTTAAGGTTATATATAATTGTCAACATTTAACAACAACAATAATCTTATAACTCATGTTATAGTACTCCTGGTGTGGCACTGTAGAATCAGCACTGGACTGTAAACTGAAGATTTAGTTAGTTCAAACCCACCAGCTGCTCCTTGGAAACCCTACACAGGGTCATTGTGAATCAGAACTGACTCGACAGTGCTTAACAACAACATTATAATTTGATTGTATATCTTACTCTTCTGATTTTCCTTTCTAGATATTACATCAGTCATGTACTGAAATCCTGGAATTGCGACCATCAAGTGTCTGTGTAGGGGGTAAGTATTTGGGATTTAAAAATACCATGTAAGAAATTGTACTTTTTTCCTAGTTAAAATATATGATTTGAAACTCCTGTTGGAAAGAGAATAGCAAAATTAACTTTTTTGGCATCATTTTCTGTAAGAATTTTTAAATAATTCCTTGAAATATTTCTATTTTAAATTCAAATTTTTAAAGATTGGAGTGTTATTTTAAATAATGAGCATATTGTGTGGCAGGCTTTTAGAATCTTCTGTATATTTAGTACATGTTTGAGACCTTTCTGATGGTAAGTAAAATAAAATATGAGATTTTTCTTTTTATTTAATTATACAAAGAATCATGTATCTATGGACTCTTTTTTTTTTAACTCCATGCTTTGATGACCTGGCCAAGGTACAATATCTGCCAGCTTAGGGTACATAAACGAAGTGATTTATGGGTGAAAGGCAGGCAGGAAGCAGGTGCTTTGTCAACTGTGCTAAGAACAGATTTCAGGTTTTTATGCCTCACAGCCATCCTTAACCAAAGCGAGTGTGGTTCTCTCTGGCCTGTTTTATTTCTTCTTGAGTTATAACCTGGAGTTCTTTTAACTTGACTTCATTTAGTACAGGAAACTGTTGGGTCTGGTGGGGAAGGAAATGTATTGTGTTATCAGCCTTTTGCAAATGCTCTTGAACTCTGCTATTTTGAACTCTGTTGTTGTTAAGTTCTGTGGAGTTGGTTCCAATGCATAGTGACCCTGTATAGGATTTCCGAGGTTTAAACTGCCAACCTAGTAGTTTGCAGTCCAGTGCTTATCCTACAGTACCACACCAGGGGTCTAGTAAATGATTATTGAAATGCTGTAGAGAAATGTTATGTGTCATGTAGTCGGTTCCGACTCATAGTGACTCTGTACAGGCTTTCCGTGGCTGTAAATCTTTATGGGAGAAGAAAGCCTCATCTTTCTCCCACAGAACAGCTGGTAGTTTCAAACTGCTGACCTTTCAGTCCATAGCCTGATTTGTAACCACTAAGCTACCAGAGCTCCTTACCAGAGCTCCTTAGTGTCCCTAGAAATCCCTGAGTAGCAATCCCTTGAATAAGAATTTAGATTATTAAATTTCTGACGTAGCAAAATAAATAAATAAATAAATGGAAACAGAATAAGATGGGTATGATACTGAGTTAATGTGCTGGACTATGAAGTCGGTTTCAACAGTAAGGTCGGCGGTTCAAGCTTACCAGACGCTCCTTATAAATCCTATACAGGGTTGCTATTGCTTGAAATTGAAACAACATCACTCAACAACAAGATTATCTTTTAAACTCCTTTTATGTGCTTGGTACATACTAAGTGTGTTGCATTTACCATTCCACCTAATCCCTAATCCTCATAGCAACACTATTGGATGGTTGTATTAATTATTTATAGATGGGGAAACCGAGGAAGAGAAAGACACAGTGTGTGTTATTAATAACTGGCCTATTTGACCCTTGTCTATAAAACTCTAAAATCTAGCATCCTTTCTTTTTTTGGTGTGGGGAGGGACATTTTCTTTGGGTTTGGGTGAAAGTTTAAAGAGCAAATTTGTTTTCAATGCAATAATTTATATACATTTCATTTCATTATATTAGCTTCAATCTCCTCAGTATAATAGCACTTTTCCCACTTTTCCCTTGATTCCTTGTTTCCATTGGTCCTGCTTTTCTGCCCCTCCCGCCTTCTGTACTTCATTTTTGTTTTTGGAAAATACTGCCTTTTGAATCTCATATAATTGATTCTTTTGATGAACATGTTCCACATGGGTGGTGGTGTTCCTGAATAGGCCTGTCTACTGTTTGGCTGAAAGGTGTTCCCCAGGGGTGAGTACAGTTTCAGATTTGAAGGGTGTGGAAGAGCCATCATATTGGGGGTTCCTCTAGTCACTATTATACCTGTGAGTCTCTTCTTTATGATTTTGAACTTTGTTCTACTTTGTCTCCCATTCCATCTAAGACCGTCTATTGTGATCCAGAGTAGTTGGTAGCCATAGCTCATCACCATCTGGCCCAGTTCTTCTAGTTTCAGGCTCATGGAAGCTGTGGTTTACATGGCCCCATTAAACCTTGGACTAATTGTTTCCTTGAGTCTTTGATTTTCTTCACTTTTCTTTTCTGCTAACAGGGAAAGACCAATAGTTACAGCTTAGATAGCAGCTCATAGGCTTTTAGGACCCCAAGTCACTACTAATCATAGTAAGATACAGTTCATGCTCTTTTTACTGAATTGCGTTTTACATTTTTTCTGTACCTGATTTAACTTGTCAATAAAATTCCTTTTATAAAGAATTTAATGAAAAATTTTACGACAATACATTCATTTTATAGTTAATTACTATATATGTCTTGATTAGGAACACATACATGGGTGGCATTAAGAAGACTGATGAGATTTAATCACTATTAAAGTTGTTAATAACATTAGGATAAATGGTTAAAAAATTATGTAAATAATGTAGATCATCTTGGACAAAAAAAATCAATGCTGATGGAAACAGTAACCAAGAAATAAAATGACAGATTGCATTAGGAAAATTTGCTGCAAAAGACCTCTTTAAAGTTTTAAAAGCAAAGATGTCACTTTGATGATTACAGTTCACCTGACCCAAGCCATGATATTTTTGATTGCCATGTAAAAGTGACACAATGGAATAATAAGACTGAAAAATAATAGAAACATTTGAATTGTGGTGTTGATGAAGGGTATGGAATATAACCTGGACTTCCAGAAAAAGGAACAAGTGTCTTGGATGAATCACTGGCAGAATGCTCCTTAGATTCAAGCATGAGAAGACTTTGTCTCATTTACTTCAGGAGAGACCATTTGCTGGAGAACATCATGGTTTATAAATTAGATAGGTAGAGAGTCAGCAAAAGAGGAGAGTCTCTATAAAATTGATTGACATTGTTGCTACAATAATACAGTCAAACGTAGCAACAATTGGGAAGATGGTCAAGACTGGGCAACATTTTCTTCTGTTGCGCATTGCTGTTTCTATGAATCGGAGCCAACTTGACAGCACCTAATAGAAAAATAACAACAAAAATAGTTAATGTAACACCGTGCAGCAATACACCAAAATTTTAGCTGTCTATCAAGCTATTTGACCAGTTAGCAAAAATTTCCCTCTCTAACATTTAGGTTCTTGGACATATTGTCAGAAGGGAACAGTCACTGGAGAAGGATGTCATTCTGGGTAAGATGGAGGGTTAGAGAAAAAGAGGAAGACCCCCAACAAGATGAATCAGCCAGGTGGCATCATTGATGGCATCAAGTGTGGCAGCGGTAGTGAGCTTGGCCCAGGATTGGACATTGTTTCCTTCTGCTGTGCATGGGGTCACTATGAGTCGGTTCCGACTTGATGGCCCCTGACAACAACAACAACAACAACAACATTTAAGTATTTCTTCTGTTTGTTGTTGTTAAGTGCCACCTAGTCAGTTCTGACTCATAGTGACCCTGTATAGGGTTTCCAAGGAGCGGCTGGTAGTCTTGAACCACTGACCTTGTGGTTAGCATCCAATGCTTACTCTACACCAGGACTCCTATAAGCTGTTGTTATTGTTGTTAAGTGCCATTGAGTCAGTTCTGGTTCATAGTGATTCTATATAGGGTTTCCAAGGAGCAGTTGGTGGGTTTGAACCATCAACCTTGCAGTACAGTGCATTATCCTGTAACATTAACAACTTTCTTTAGTGACTGTAAGATTATTGTTGTTGTTGTTAAGTGCCATCGAGTCAATTCTAACCCATAGGGACCCTGTACAGGGTTTCCAAGGAGCAGCTGATGAGCTTGAACCACCGAACTTGCAGTTCAAACAGCTTTGCCGTCTGTTGCATTAACCCACAGAGCCACATGACCTATGACAAGTTATAAATTTGTGTGTAACAGAAAATGAAACCAGTATAATGAAGGTGAAGAAACTGTTAAAGAATAACTCAGTAATTAGAGCTATGTCATTGTTGTTAAATGCTGTGGAGTCAGTTCTGACTCACAGCTACTATGTATAGGGTTCCTAAGGCACAGCTGGTGGGTTTGAACCACCTACCTTCAGTTAGCAGTCCAATGCTTATCCTACACAGCGCAATTGGAGCTGTAGATTTAAAAAAAAATACTACACATGACTGTTCTGAGAATCAAAGAGAAGTAATAATGAATTTTCTTTATATTACCATACATTGATACCTGAAGATAGAAAAAAAAGAGGTTTCTTTTTTTTTTTTTTAAGGTTTTTATTGTGTATTGAGTGAAAGTTTACAGGGCATATCATCAGTTTTACATTCAACAAATCATATACCTTGTTTCATTACATTGATTATAATCCCCTCCATGTACCATCATTTAACAGTATTTCTCTCTATCCACTTTAGCTTTTTTAAAAAACACACAAACAAAAAAACCCACTCAGGCATACGTAATATTTACATCTCCAAAGGGCATATTCTGCAAGTCTGCCCCTGTCCACCAGCTCTTAGCCCTTCTCTTCTTAGTCGATGAATCTAGAGTCCTCAGCCGCTCCCCCTCTCCATGCCCCCATGTCTGCCTCCATCTCTGGTGCTGCTGCTTCTCTGGATAAGGTCCTGCATTCTATTTGTGCTTTCCTCTCTTGATGGTCCTAGGGTCCTCTATTTCTGGACTGTAAGATGAACCATTCCCCTTTTTTTGTTACAAAACTTCTACCTTTACAGTTGTGACAGTCGTGATTAGTCTTGATAGCAGTTATTCACTATTGAATCTTACAAATCTTATCCCCATCTTTTTTCACCAGACCCATCTAGACAAGATGACAGCTATTAAGTGGGGACTGTTTCTTTCCCCCAAAACTCTTAAACTCTCTTTTGAAACCTTGTAAGCCAGTCACTTCGTGCCTTTATTGCTCCCTCATTTTAGGTAGCCAAAGTCTAAGTTGCCCATTCCTATCTGTCCTGTATACAGAGTGGATACCATTGAAACTTGATTTGAAGACTCTTTCCCTCTCTGTATTTAGAGTAACTACCGCTCTGAGTATAGGTCAAGTTCATCATGAAGATGATGGTATTTTCTGATATTTTCCGATAGAATTTAGGGAGACTTGTATAGTATCTGGATGAGAATGACTGTAACACTTCAATTTTAATATCTTGATTGCTACCTGGAATCACTTAGCTTTAAAAAATAAAATATCACATCTTTACATGGCAATATTAGTATTTTCCCTGTTGTTGTCGTTAAATGTGGTCAAGTCAGTTCGACTCATAGCAACTCTATATAGTGTTTCTAAGGAGTGGCTGGTGGCTTTGAACCTTTGGCCTTGTGATTAGCAGTCCAGTATTTATTCTACAACACCACAGCAGGACTACTGCATTTCATTTTTATTGTTGTTAAGTGCAGTCGAGTCAATTCCAAACCATAGTGACCCTTTATAGGGTTTCCAAGGAGCAGTTGGTGAGCTTGAACCACCGACCTTGCAGTTCAAACAACTTTGCAGTCTGACATATTAGCCCACAGTGACACACCAGGACTCCACTGCATTTCAATGGGTCTAAAATGTGAGTGGATTTGGAAATTGAACTTTGTCTTCAGTGTTATCAATTGGCTGAATGGTGTGAAAAATTTAATTTTATATACCTAGATACCTTAGTTTCATTTGTCTTTTTATTTGTATAAAGTGTATAAAATGTTTGTCTTTCTTTTTACTTCTAGAGGAATTTCAAATTGTTCTGAATGGAAGAGGATTCACATTGGGGAACAGAGATGGCAGTGTGGTTTGCACATATACGTTAAATGAAACATACACAAAGAGTAGGTATTCCAATAATCTCCATGTTACTTTAATATCTACACAGCATATCAGAATCAAATGATTTCTTTCCAACTAAAACTAACAATATTATATATTTTTAATCAAAGAAGAATGAAATGAAGTACTAATGATAATACAATAACAATTATTTTGTTGCTGTTGACTGATGGCCGTATTTCTTCATAGGTTTATAAATGTTGGATCTTGTGTAAATAGCCTCATTTTACAGCTGTTAGTTCTGTGACTGGAGAGTAAAATCACTTGCCTACAGCTAAGCTGATAGGTTTTCCTGACTGCATTCTGTGTCAACTACTTAATAAGTTAATTGTGTCTTTCCTCAGATTTGCTTCTTATTATCCTTGCCTTAAAATGTAACTCTTAAAATGTCATTTTTCTATCTTCTCAATAACACTTTTTAACTTGGAGTCTCCAGTGGCCATTCTGTATAATGTTCGTTGGTAATTATTATATTTACAGAACAGGGTGGCATTTTCTATGCCTAGACGTTCAAAACAGCAGATGAGTAAACCAGTGACACATATATATGTAGGTTGGAACTGCAAGGTCGGTGGGTCGAACTAACCACCCACTCCTTGGAAACCGTATACTGGGTCACCATGGGTCCTGACTTGATGGCCCTTAACAACAACAACATATGTGTGTGTGTGAGTGTGTGTGTGTTGGTGTGTGTATATAGAGAGAATGAAAATGGCTTACAATTGTAGAATCTCAGGTCCCCAGCAGAAGAGAGTGAGAGAGTCCCTCCTAGGTGTCCATTATATTGGGATCATCCCTTTAAATGAAACATCCATTTAACTGATTGGCTATTCATAGCCACTCATCACTGAGTTAACTATGCCTGTAATATATTTTATCGCCATGGGAGTAAGCAGATCTCAACTGCTAAACCTCTGGAAGGCCTGGTCCAGTGAAAAACCTATTACAATCCCTAACTATTACAGCGAACTCTTGTCAACTTGAAACCTATAAACTATATGCATAATTTCTAAATAAAGAAAATTGTAAAGTCATACTTGCACCTAACATGATATAACTAAAATACGCACAACTGAAAATGTACTGGACCCATTTCCCATTTACATATTATCTGAGAGAGAGAGAGAGAGAGAGAGAGAGAGAGAGAGAGAGAGAG